CTCGGTCGCGCAGTCGTTCCTTTAGGACAGAATGGCAAACAGCAGTAATGTTGTGATGAGGGCAGGAACAGGGATAAAATGCACAAAGGTGTGACGAGCATCAGGGAAGACAGTGCTCCTTGTCCACCTGCCAGGCCAGTCTTACAGCCAAAACAAATAGAGACCTTACTGTCCATGGAGCACAAAAGGCGCCGCACCAAGCAGCAGCGCCGCATTCAGGGTCACTCACCTCCTGAGGGTCATTCTCCAGCTTCAAACCATCGCCTCGCTTTTTGCATTTTCCTTAAAAATGGGAAAAAAAGAGAAAGCAGCAGCATTACATTGGGCAGAGACCTCTGGGAGGGGTCCAGGCAGGACCGCAGCGCTTGCAACATGGCCTTAAAGCAGATCCAACTTCTACTACAAGCACAGGGAATGGCGGGCTGGGACAGGCATGCCTTGCTGAAGAATCCCAGCTAGTCTGATTCAGTGATGAATAGGAGGAAAGCCTGGGGTAGCTTAAACCATGCTCTTCGCAGCATGGAGTCACAAGGACTGAATGTGGGGTTTGGGGCACTCCCTGGCCACAAAGGAAGCTGCTTTGTTGCACTTTTTGTTGCATTAGTGTGGAAGCAGCAGAAGGTCGTGGGGCTGTTCTGACTGAACTGCACAAGATCAGAGCCTTCCGCAGAGATACAAGGACACTGCTGTGCCATGTCACTGGCCTGAAGCACACTCCTTGTAGGTGAAGGGGATCTCAGAGCCCATCAGGTGCTTTGGGCTGACTTGTGACCAAAAAGAACAAAGGGGTGGCTGGAGACAATGAGAATTTTAACAAAAGCCAGAAGACAGACAGAGCTTATATAGAGGAAATCCAGCAAATCAACTGTGGCAAGGGGGCTGTGGAGAAGTAGAGGAGAGACAGGTTGCACGTTCATGAAAGGCCAGAGGGTCAGGGCTGGTCATCACCTCTGGCAAGTTAAAGCCATTCCCCTTGTCTTGTCCCTACAGGCCCTTGTCCAAAGCCCCTCTCCAGGTCTCTTGTAGCCCCTTTAGGCACTGGAGCTGCTCTAAGATGTCCCCTTCAGGAGCCTTCTCTTGTCCAGGCTGACCCAGCCCAGCTCTCTCAGCCTTGGCTCCAGAGCAGAGCTGCTCCAGCCCTTGCAGCATCTTCACCTGGAGACCAGATCTGGAGTTACGTTTTGCAGGTACCAAACGTTTTCCAGATGTTACTGACAGCAATTAAAAACTGCACCTCTGAATTAACTTCATTCTGTATTTTCCTGGTCTGTAATGACAAGTGAACTGAATTATAATGGCAGACACCTGGAATTCCTTCTCATAACTTCCAGAAATACCCGTGTCACTGACAACAGGATGTGTTGGCAGCTTGGATGCTCCTGCAAAAACCCCTCCCACTGACACTTTAGAAGACTGCAACACAGGGGACCAAAATAGCTCCCGCCAGTTACCCTATCTGCTGATTGCCATGGGGTGGCTGCTGTAAAACTCCTGGTTCTGCCAGACCCTGCGAGTGAAATAAAGTGCTTCATTCTCTTTGCAGAGAGGTCAAGGATAAACAGTTCTGAAATCGAGTTATTCATGGCAGTTTTAATGCTGCAGGGTACAGCAGGAGATTCCAGGCCCCTCCCCTGACAGTATGTCTGGTGGGTGCTCCTATGCACCCATGCTAAATGTTTGCCTCCCCCCCCTTACTGTTGGCATCAGAAAGTAGCAGAAATGTTATCCTGATCCTTCCCCACTCGTGCAGTGTGTCTCCCTGGAGGATCCAAGCATGGGCTCTGACTTCTCCCAGCACAACTGAAGGTGTGGGATGTCGAGGATGCCTTTTCCCACTTCAAATAAATACATTTCAAGTCAGTGGCATTCATGTGGCTCCTCTGAATACCAAGACATCATCACAGTGGCCACTAAATGACACTTGGCATGACCTGAATTTCTAGGTATGTAAACAGGAGCCCATGCAATCACAGATAGTTCTCACTGTCCTCCTGTCCTGAGCACTAAGGTGTCTTTCTAACCTGGACGCAGTGACAACCAGAGCTTAGAGACTGAATGCACACCTCTCCCTGCTTATAGCTTTACGTGTGTATCAACAGGAATGAGTAATATTCTTACATGATGCTCAGCACTGCTGTAAAGGGGGTCATCTAGAAAGCAGTATCAGGGCCAAAAAGCGCATGTGTGCACATATTCATGCTCTGTGTCTATTTTTGGAACCAAGACTGCAGAATGAACTAGATAAAGTCAAGATCTATGTAGTGAAAAGATGCAATTCAGCCTGTGCAAATGCACAGTGAAGACTGTGGTGTTATATAAACACGGTCTCCTCTTTAAGGTCACACTGATGTGCAGGGGGCTTCATGTTGCCATTGCTCAGCTTCTCTACCTACAACGACTGCAACTTATTCATAGGCATGACAGCAACACTGAAACCAAATAACTTCACAGCAGTGCCCCACAGTCTACAGACCAGTTCTTACCAAACACCAGAACACTGGGTTTGTGGCCAGCCCCTGAGAGCCTCTGCACCTCTGTGTCCCATCGGTTCTGTTGCAGGACAGAAAGATTCAGTCCAACTTGCCAACAAATGCTGCCCACAGCATGAGGGAGATGCTTCTGCTCACCATCCAACAAAACAGGTCTCGAATATTTGCATCCCAGAGTTATCTAACTTAGGACATCTGAACAGAAGTATTAATTCTGATCTTTCCTCATTCCTGCATCTCCCCTCTGGGAGGGAGAGGGGGCGGGGGCAGGGAGAGGAAAGGAACTTCCCAGGAAGGAAACAGTTAATGTTATTTTGGAAGCAACAGAACACAAATAATTATTTGATCTCCTTAGTTGGTGTATGGGAAAAGATGCAGGAACCAAACTAGCACAAGTTATGAGATAGGGTCAGAACTGAATCACCTGCATTCAAACAGCTTCTCTGCATTCAGGATATGTTACAGCTTTAGGACCTGCAGTAGTTACACAACGTGCTGCAAAGCCAGAGAGATGAGTCAGGCTGTGACTTTTGCTGAGATCTCCTTCCTGTGTTCCATTAGTTCCAAGGGCAGCAAAGGAGATAGTATTTACTACACACTGCACAAAACTCAATACAATACATAGCTGGGGGCAAGCTCAACTTGTTAAGATTTTAAAAAATGGCATCATTACCCAAATGAGTGCAGCTCTCTGAGCAGGCCCGAGGAAGACACTGCAGGAGGCAGGGAAGTCTGCAGCGAAGCCTGTGCTCCAGTGAGTCTGCACATCAAACCAGCAGAAATCCCACAGAGCCAAGCCAAAGGCAGGAGGAGCAGTAGAGCACAGCAGCTGCCATCCCCCTGCTCCACGACACTGACAAACCTCACAGCTTCTAAGCTTTAACAGAGCTCCTCACACTCCCAAAGGAACACCTATGGCCCAGACATCACCGAGCGAGCCACCAGCCAGGCAGCGCCACCGGAGCTGCCTCCTGCCTTCCTGAGGCAGCCTGGAGGGAAAGGCCAGCACGCTGCAGGGCTAGCGGGGACAGGGGGCACCTGCTGCACAGCCACATCCAACTGCAGCCCAAACACGTACAGCAAGTTTTTCAGGATGCAGCTTCTTGTTTCCCAAATCTGTGCAGGTTCACACGCTCAGGAATGGCAGCACGGCAGAGGAAAGGCCAAGGCTGCTTTACAAGACTGAAGTTGAGAACTGCAGTTTATGGGTACATCTTTTAGACAGTCTGGCTGTGTCCCCGCATCAGCCTTTCAATACCTCTTCAATCTTAATCCAAATAGAGATCTCTCATTTTTCTCTAACAAAGACAATTCTTCTCAAATGGAGAAACCCTGGCAACAAAAACATAGCCTGGCAAACAGCACATGTTGAAATGCATGTTCAGAGCGTGCAGTTAGAAATCCAGCCTGATAAATGCAGCATTCTGCCTAACTCTAAATATGCACATTAACCAGGGTCTGGTAAGCAAGGAAGAGAAGGATCAGGTCTTGTCAGCACTATGCTGCAGCAATACTGGGTACTTCAACACTAAGAGTCTATGGTTTAATTAGTGTTGCTCTCACCAAAAGCATCACGTAGGAGGAATTTTTGTCCTAAGCATACAGAAAGAAGAACAAAGATATCATGAGGTAACATTCAGATTCAGGTTAGATGTGAGCAAGCTCTTACTGCTTAAGTGGCATCTTTTCCTGTAGTTGTACTTACCAAGGATCCACAGTGCTATGGCAACAGGGAAGGATTTGATTTTGTTACATCATGGTGAGCTGAGTTTTTACACTGCACTGACTGAGTACATTTGATTACACAAAAAATCCGTATCTGTGGTCCCTAAGAGGGATCTTAACAGAATGAGGTTTAAGGAATATAAAGTGGTAAGATGAGAGTCTCTTGAGGTTTCTCACACATGCTCCACTGTCAGCAATGAAAGCAGCACCAGAAGGGCCGCTGTTAACATCCGCACGTATCAAATCCAATAATTTTGCCAAAAAAAAAAAGCATCAAGTCTCTAGTTGAGAAGATGAGTGCTCAGAGAAGCCATTCACAGGAATCAGTGCTGGAACACATGGTTCCCAAATTAACTGTCTGTCTATTCATCCCAAAGCTGCAAGGCGCGAGAAAACATGTTTTGCTCAGATCTGAGAACGCCACCAGCCAGGCTGCAGCAGTAACTGTGACCTGGGGAAGGGTTTGTCTGCCCTGTGAAAACTGGGGTTTAATGGAATCAAAAGATAAAGCGCATGGAAGTCCCATGGTGGGACCAGGGTTGGTGCCCTCAGGGGCAGTTCTGAGCAACGTGCAGCAGATCCCAGCTCAGGCTGCAGGAAAGGCAGCAGCAGCCAAACGAGGAGTTTGTTTCTGTGACTGTGGTCAACAGGTTTGACTGGCAGAAACACACAAACGAGGAGCACAACCTGCACAGCAAGAGGTCCTCTCTCGTAAAGCTGCCTTCCTGACCATACTCGTAAACCAGAAACCTGGCTGGGACAACAGCCACAAATCTGCATTCGGGGCCCCAGAATGAGCTGGTAACATCCACATCTGCAGCCCAACCTCTTCTAGGCACAGATGACACTGCATCCAGGCTTGCACTGCACCCACATGGTGCAGTGGTCTTCACATGTGTTTTTTTGAGGTTTTAGTTTTATAAACTGGAACTTTATACTCTGACAAAACCCGAAAACTAATGAAAAATGTATTTCTATATCATAATGCTCTCCTTGGCTGAGCATTTAGAAAAGGGTTTGGATTACATATATTGCATTTTCTGTCCTAAGTGAATGTAGGTAACTGGCTTCTCTTTTATCCTTCCCTCCTGCATACATTATTCACTGCAGATAACATTTTACCAACTTAACAAGAGCAGCTTGACAGCACTTTTATAAACAGAACCAGGAACTCAGTAGCTGTCTAAATACATATGAAACTATAAAGGAGAGAAGATGAAGTTTCTAATAAAGCTCAGTGAACACACTAAGTAGCAGGCTATTTCATGGAGCACATGAACCAACTGCTTCTGAACACTGGGTATGATCTGAAGTTCAAATCCCAAATAACAGGCTCTAGCATAGGAGACACCTTGCTCCTTTCCATATTTTTTCAGAAAGTAACATCCATGCACATGGAAAACACCACTACAGACATTTTTCTCCAGTGAAGCAGCTATTCCTGAATTCCATGTGAGGTTTCAATTAAAACTGGGAAGAGCAATGAATCCTCATGAGAAAGGAAGTGAGAATCTTACCTTTGTCAACGACATCCCAGACTTCAACTTTAACAATATCGTCAGTGGCTGAAAGCACAAGAACGCAAATGTTAGAAGGGGTTTCAGTTAATGACCAACACTCAGTGCTCTCCAGAGCCTCCCCCAGAGCCAACACCACCAAAGCAGCAGATGAATGGAAACCAAAAGGATTTCTAGAGCTAGAAGCAAATCCAAATAGAAGCAAATCCAAACACAACAAGGCTGAAGGTCCATCCTCTACACCAAACCGTGCTAGCCAAAGAACTTAAAGACTTGGTCACACAAGCGCCAGCTACATTTCCTCTATGGTTTATGTCAGATTTGAAGCATGTTATAAATATTTTGCAGATTCTTTTCATAAACAGAGGTTTCCATATTCTTTCAAAACTGATACAAATGTAAGCTGAAGCACAAAGCCTGGTCTAAAAGTGAGGTGTGCAGCTGGAAAAAAAGGAATACACACACTTAAGGAGGATCAGTTACTAACAGCATTCTCCTGCAGACATGACAAACAGTGCAGACAACCCTGCAGCTACAGCCAGCCATTTCCCTGCTCATTTCACATTGTGTCTTATGAAAAAGAAGATATTAAAGGTAATTTTGCCTCTTCACAAGCTGCAGCATCAGTAAATTACAAGCAGCAACATAGAATTGAGTCACTAAAATCTGGAGCAAGACAATCAAAATTCTACCTGCAGAGCCAGTGCTGTGGTACTGATCCCCTGACTCTGCTGGCACGACGGGTGGGCAGCCTTGCTCAGATGTTTCTGCTGAATCCACACAAGCAGCCCCAAACTCCATGGAGCTGTTCTGAGAAACAGCTGCTGTTTGGAAATGCTATGGGCTGCAGAACAAAAGCTTGTACCTGGAGTAGCTCTGCACATAAAGCAATAGAATGGGAGGATAATGTCTCAGAGTACAAAATAATCTCCTAGAGGATGGTGTAAGACGTTAGCCAAGTGTCATTGGCAAGCCAGGAAAAATTCCCTCTGCAGAATTCCCTGTTGGCTTAACTGAAATGTTTCAAAACATTGTAAAAACAGATTATGAATAAAGAAAAACTTTGATCCTCTGCTTCTAGAGAAAGATACTTTTTACATTTATGCATAAAGCCAAGTCAGCCAAATCATAGCAACTCCCACTCCCCTTCTCCTTTGCCAGCAGGGCAATGGGCACCGGATGAACAGGAGATTTGCCCAGGCTCAGCCCAGCCAGTGCATCACAGGCTCAGGTGGGGCTGGAAACCCAACAGCAGTCTGCAGCCCTGCACCTTCACAGAATTACTGAATCAACTGGGTTGGAAAAGACCCTTAAGATCATCAAGTCCAACTGTTCCCAGCACTGTCAAGGCCACCACTAACCCATGGCACTGAGGCCTCATCTACACGGTGCGTAAACACTTGCAGGGACGGTGACTCCAGCACTGCCCTGGGCAGCCTGTTCCAACCCCTGAGCACCCTCTGGGGAAGAAATTGTTCCTCTTCTCCATCTAAACCTCCCCTGGTGCAGCTTGAGGCCGTTTCC